TAGGTTGCCAAGGCTTTAAAAATTTTGCACGTGGAGGACATGAAACAAAATTTTTTTTTTTTTTTAGGTTTTATATATACTTTTGAATAACTAAAAAATCAATACCATATAATTCTACTTTAATTTATCAAACTTAGTAACTAAGCTGTATTTGGGTCTAAAAAAAAATATGAAATTTCGATTAGACTAAAGACACAACCTACATCATTGAAGTCTTGGTGCAAAAGAAAGGATTTGGTGTTAGATATGCTAGAAAGGCTGAGAAAACCACTAGGGGGACACTCTGAGCTTCTGTTTGTTTATTCATGTCATATATAGAAGTAAGTGTATATAAGAGGGTGTTTCCAAAAATGGAAAGAGGTGAGTGGGGTGCTACTGTGTTCCAACACATCTCTCATGTAAATCATCATGTGTCACCTCTCCACCAGTAGGAGAGCATTACTATTACATGACGCATGTGACTCCCTCTACGCACCATTATTGAATTATCACTTCTCGTTTGGCAGCTGTCGAGTTCAGAAATACAATGTTCAGTTACCTTTAAGTGGTTTATTTTTTCATTTTTTATTTTGTTCTTAACTTTATTTACTATACTTCACATTTGTGGAGTTAATATTTTATTAAAGCATTACTTCTTCATGTTTGCCACTTTTTCCTGCTTATGAATTCTGAAGCTAGAGACCCCACTTTGGGTACTTTGCCAGCATCTGATGCTGTATTTTCAGCCATGGGCATGGGCGACCTGTCAGAAGATTGAGCAGTATATGAGCCTATATGCAGTTTCAACATTGGGTCCTTCATGATCAATGGAACTTTACCCGGGATCCCTTGGATGGATCTATGTATCTCCGTTCATCCCTTGTAGAAGATCTCCATTGTGTCTCTTTACCACTCATTTAGTGACACATTACTATTTTTAAGAATAACCTTGCAGTGTAGTTATAATTGCAAAAGGCTCTGTTGTAAGGCTGTCATGTGTAAAGTACCCGAATACTCCCTGCATGCTTTGATTTAACCATTTAGTGTATAAGAATGAAAGGTTCCCAGTACTTGTTTCTACAATCTGGTCCCACAGAAATCCATAGGTGCTACATCCAACAACTCGACCAATATATTGTAGTATGGAATTGTATGGATACTTTAGGGAAGCAACTTTTTACTGTTACTATATCTGATCAGTTGAATCTGTGGCTAGTTATAATGAAGAAACATAGAGAGATATTCATATGAAGTGAATCTACATCAAAACTTGAGCAGTAGCTCTCTTTTAAGATGTCTGCTGATTAGAAGGATAAAATTGAGCAAAGTTTTATGTATTTTATCAAGTCTCCTTAATTCATGATATATACCACAATATTTAATGCTAAAGGTTTAACTGAATATTCTTTATATGCCTCGTACTCCATGTATAGAATAGCTGGATTACATCATAGTGGTTTTATACTTTATAACGTATTCCCCTTTTATTAAGTATGTTACCACAAGTCTCCTTAATTCATGATGCAGAACACAATATTGAAGGTTGAGAGTTAATGCCTTATATCCAAAATAGAATAGCTGGATTATATCGTAGTGATTTTATACTTTATAATATATTCTCCTTTTATTAAGTATTCTCATTATGGATAGTGTTTTAAGTATTTTGTGACAAATTTCCTTATTTTATTATATGTATCTCAATATTAAATAGTATTTATTTAACTTAAATAAATATCTCTAACATATTTTCTATAACCTTTGGATAATCTGATTGTAAAATTATAGTATCATTTAGTATATTTTGTACTTCTAAGTTACAGTTAGATTCTTTAGTTATCACCACCCCATTTTCTTTATCAATCCCCCAGTGGCACAGTGGTATGTCCGTGGATTTATACTGCTAAAAACTGGGTTTCGATACCCATGATGGGCAGAGCACAGATCGCCCTTTGTGTAGCTTTGTGCTTAAAAACAAACAACAACAACTTCTATTATCATTCCTCATTATGGTTAGTATTTTTCTTGTACATTACTGTTTTTCAGTTCAGGTACAATATGAGTAAAGAAGAAATATTAACTATAAAACATTTCATTCATGTAATAATTATAAATGATCAGTGATTTTGCTAATTATAGATTTACAAGTTGTGTTTCTCATTATTTACATCTTTTAGGTTGATTAGCCAGGGTGCAGACATTAATAGGCATCACCCTCTTGGCTGGACACCCTTGCATGTAGCAGCAGTAAATGGACATTCAAAGTATGTTTTTTGTGTTTGATTATACGTATTTCTGTTTGTATTCGTGGTGTATATCTATAATAAATTGTTTGTTATGTGCGTGTATGTTAAATTATTTGTACTTGTTTATGTATATTTGTGTTGTATTTGTATGATATAATTTGTGAGTTGTATGTATATTTGTGTGTTTGTATATGTTATGTTTGTGTGTATGATAGTTTTGTGTTTTTATGATTATGTATATTCATAAGTATGAAAAACAAAATGTGGTGATGTTTTTATAATCTTACTGTGATTGTTTCCTATAAACGATTAGTAACTTTTTGATTATGAGATGTAGCGAATTAGTTAGAATAATGCACCCCATATGATAATGTAATGAAATAATTAGTGAAGGCACCACGAACATTAATCTAATGTATTTGTTTCTATAAGAGTTCTGGATCAACTGGTACCTTGAGCATTCCAATACAGTCTTACCTCCTCTGACACACAGCTATCTCGATCTTCATCTACCCTCTAAGCATTGCTAAAACATTTTGATGATCAGCACGCCAGTCTATATACCCCATCAATTTCGTGCCATTTCTGAACACGTACATATCGTAACTACTCTCCACCAATAGTCTTGCACCAACTATATTGGCACATCTAGCTCCCTCTGCTATTTTCACTCAATCCTCACTTTCTCGATTGGCACAACATTATTTAGATGTGCATTTTTTTTGCATGTGGGTATCGTTTATGAACATTCTCTTTGTCATTTCAATTTTTCTTTTCCAATAGTTTTATTTTACTGTGTTACCATCTATTTTTTGTTAACAAATTGTGAGAGATCTAAATATGAATTTGTGATCAATGTATCAACTATGGTAATTCTGATTATAGTTGTCAAAGCTACTTGTAAGACTTCCCTAGAATTGGGATAGATTTTACCTACTGAGGAGGTACAGGCCTTAATTCGCAGGGAGCTAAATTCATATATTTGGCTGATAATTTCTTCTTTTTAGTGAGACAATGTTTCACAAGAAGAATACAATCACAGAGAAGACAATTTGGTTTCTCTTTTTCCGGCATCTTCTTTTTTTTTTGGTCTGTCACACACTACACCTCTTCAGGAGTTTCACCTTCCACTAGTTGACTTGCCGCAATGTCATTCATTGTGGTGGAGAATTCTTCTTCTCCTTCTTTCTTCCTCTTGATTCCAGTTCTTATAGGGGATCTGTGGTAAGTTTATCAACATGTACTCTTCACAACTGGTTGATATACTCGTGGTAGGCACGGCTCAGATGCCCTTTATGTGGCTTTGTCCTTATTTACACGTGGGAGAATTAAGTATTTCACATCATCAGTGCTCGGACTTTGAAAAGTAAATATTTATGTGTCTTTTGTCATGTAACTTGCTTTAGATGAATTGTAAGCTAGATATTGAATATTATTTTTTTAGGTACATTTAATTTTTTTGCACATTCATTAATACTACGTACTTTGTGTACTATGCAAATTTTGTGGGTTTGTTTGTTCATTATTAATAAATTCTTTAAATAGGTATGTTTAGATTGTTTGTAAGTTACATATCATTACTACTAGTTACATCTAATTTGTTGTTCTTTTGAGTACTTGTTTTTTCTTGTCATTGTTAACTATGTGACTTATCCTATTTTTTTGTCAGTGTAGGACCTAATTATGGTATCCTTTATTGTCAAGGTTAATTTAGAGGAATTGTAAGTTAGATATACTGATTATTAATGTGTTTTCTGGGTAATTTTCATTGGTTTGCACATTCTTTATCATTACATACTTGGGGGACTAAATAAATTTAGATATTTTATCCGTTTTATATTTATAAGTACTTTGTTTAGTTAGTTTGTAAGTTACATATCGTTACTACTAGTAATATGTAATTCATTGTCCTATCTGAATAAGTTTTTTTTTCGTAATCATTAAATATGAGCCTTATCTAATTTTTGTCAGCTTACGACTTAAGTTTTTTGGCTTTGTTTCATCACTGATGTGTGCATTTCTTTCCTCATAATGGTACTAGAAACCTCATTTTCTTCCACACAGTGCCAACATCGTTGATAGTTATTTGTAGCCATAAGTCGGGTTTTCCAGTTCAGGGCCCTACCATTTTGAGTAACCTGAGCTTTTAAAGTATTTTGTCGGGGGGGGGGGGTGTAACAGGCTTTGCCCGATAGAATGCAGCATGGGTGGGATTCCTGATGATAGTGGGGAAGTCTGTTCTTACCCCTTCTCAATACCTCATTCATTTGAGATTTCTTCCTTCCAACCTCCGTCACGCCCAGCCTTCTCCTCTTTGTTTTTGGGTTTGATGCAAGCAGTTTGCACATCCCTCACCTTACATTTCTTACAGCTCAAAATGTTCAATCTCTTTGGTGATGTAGGCTTCTTATAAGCTCTCATTTCCATGTTCTCAGACTCGTGCGTTCTCTTCGGTGGACACTCCTAGATCAGTGGAACTTCTCTTTCGATCCTTGACTTGGTGGTTAGACACTAACCAGACCTTAGCAAGGGTGCAGCTTATTCCACCTCATCTAAATTTATGTCTGTTCATGGACTCATCTTTAGAGGGTTAGGGTATTTGTCTCCCAAGAGATTTCAGGTCTCTGGTTGATCAAGGAGTCTACTCCCCATATCACCATTCTCCAGTATTTGGCGGTTCATCGAGCTTTGTCCCACTTCCTTCCTCTTGAACATCGTTATTGTACATTCTGACATCTCCACAGTGGTCACCTATATAGCAGAGCCAAGGATTACCAATTCCAGGTCTCTGTGCTTTAAGATCCTGGATCTCCTTTCTGGACCCACATTGTGGTCTTTGCTTGCAATTTTCCTGTCTCCTTGAATCTGATGGTGGACAGTTTATTTACTCCCAACATGATTCTCTTCACGGAGTGGTCCCTTGATCCACAGGTTTTTAGGCGGGTGTGTTCTCATCTTGGGACATTTCATATATGCCTTTGCTACCCACTGATACACCAACTTCCTTCCCTTTAGTCTCCAGTTCCTCACCTGCTAACTCTTGGGGTGGTCATATTCTGTCAAAATTGGAGGGGTCTTCACTTCTATGCTTACCCTCTGTTTTGACTTCTCCCCAGAATTCTATCCTTATTCCAAACCACTCTTTGTCTCGTCCTAATGGTGGTTCTGTCTTGGCCGGTGCAAACATCTTTCCAACTGCTTCGACCTTTTCTTGTAAAATCTCCCCTACCCTTCCCTCTATCTTGGTCCTCATTTTGTCAACCTCTGTCTGACATTTTTCATCCTATTGTCAACATACTCTATCTTCACACGTGGATTTTGTCAGGTCCATTGTCTCAGCCCAGGGTTCAAGTTTCCAATCTTTATTCCCTGGAACCCTTCTGTTTCCAATGTTTATTCTATACCATGTCATGCTAACTGGTTGGGTTCATCAACTTGTTAGGCTGGCATATTCAGACTTATGCATTGAAGGTCACTGACTCCACAGTGTTTGTTGTCATCATACTCATTATATCACCATATCTTTGGCTTCTTGCCTTTAGCATCAGTTATAGAAGATCGGCCAGGCTGGAATTTGGACTACTCCTAATACCTTCATTACTCTTTATCTGCACGATTTAGCTGTATCTTCCTTTTGTGGATATCATCTCCCTCCCACCATGATTCTACACGTCTGTTTGCCTTTGACTGGGGTAAGTCTTATATTTTCCTTTGATTTATGTTTTCTTTTCAGTAACCCTAGTTTTAACTACTGATATTGGGATCCCACTCTGAGGTGGGTGTTGTCTGGTCAAGTGTGCTATGCCTCAAACCTGCATTATTTACTGATTCCACCATAACTCTCACTGTAGAGATGGGGTGTTTCTGCAAGACCACTTGTGGCATACTCAGTGGTGTATGTGTGTTTGTGTGTTTATATATATTGTTACATATCTGGTCGTTTGTTAATTTCCGGTATAAATTCTTCCTGAGAAACTTCAGTGATACAAGTCCTTTCTTAAATAAAACTAGTTTATTCTTTCTCAATACAACCTTGCAATACACAGAATTTCCACAGTCACTTCAACTTAAACACACTCTACAATTCACAACGATTCATGCACTTACAGTCACTACCGCTCGCTTGACTCGATTATCTGTCTCTATCTATCTGCCATTATTATCTCTGCTTTATTTGCTGGGCTTATATATTAAAATAGAGGGTGCCTAGAAAAGACTAGAGTTGCCAGGAACAGTCATGATCCTTCTAGAAACTCGTGACGTGTTACCAGCATCACGTGACTTCCGCTGTCGTAACAATATATCACATTACCATTATTGGTCCAGGTTGTCAACTTATTGTCATAACTGATTATGTTTGTGACGATAGCACCCAAATATGTTTGGGATATCCCATGTATCAAACAAAATCCAAGTGATGATGTTAATCTTGTCATTTCTTCATTGAAAATCAAATAAAGGTACAAAGCTGAGTGGTTACACCCACAACATCTCAGCTTCTACTGCCTTTCACTGTTTATAGCCAGTTGTGAGAAGGCAGTTGCCCTTAAATTTCTTAAATTAGAAATGAAACAACCTTGATATTTTTACTAATTACTCTCAACCTCCACTCTTAAAAAAGATGTTAAATAGAACTATAAGATATTGAATAGAACTGACTAGAACTATAAACCCTACCTTAAAAGTTCTTACCCTCAACCTCCTCCCTTTCTCTTGAAGATTTATTCAAGTATAGCATTGGAAGGCCAAGACAAGCCCAACTACTTTAAGTTAGCCTTTCCACCCTGGTATACTGAATACAATTATTTAAAAAATTGTTATTAGCTACTTATAAATCAAAGTAACTAATGCCCTCTTTATTTTATTTTTATAAAGTATTTTCCTTAATCTGTAGTTTTGTTCCTAAAATATTTTTGTATATATTAAAAAATAAAGTAAGGTATTTCTTTAATTGAGTGTTTTTATATCTGTTATCTTTCAGTTTATTTTTTAATAATAGAACATTATCCATGAAAATATCATAGTTATTACAGATTATTAAAAAAATCTTTTTTAGTTGAGATATAATAATACCTTTTAACATGAAACACGGAATAACACTTTTATGTGTAGGTAGACCAAGGATGGAAAATTGAATTCCCTTCTTTTACCAAAAATAGTCAACTGCACTTACCTTCTATAAAAGTAATGTCCAAATTTAAATAATTAGCATGGACC